TTTTTGGAGTTTTAGAATCACTAAAACATCCCAAACTGCATTTCTGCTATTTAGTATAACTTTTTCAGTGAAAAATAGTAAACAGGTTTTTTTTCTTGAACTAAGTCAATACTCAAGCAGTTCATGATTCAAAAGGTGAAGAAGATCTGAAATATCATTTACTGCATTTGTCAAGTGTTCTATTATCAAAAACTTAAACTCTACTAAGGCAGCTCTTCAGCACTGAATAACTCTGCGGGTCAGCAGAGAGTTAAGCAACCATCCTGGAGTGCCCAGATGATGAATTCAAGCACATGTTTACAGATATTCCAAACCAAAACACTCCTGAAATGTGCACAGAATTCAAACCCAGCACAATTTACTTTGCTAAGATTAAATATTCAATCTGTTAAGTGCTTTTTTATAAAGAATAAAACAGCAGAGATCTTCAAGAGTTTCTCACTCACTATTTTGGCTACTTGGAACTACAGGAGAGTATTAAATACCTGCTGCATGGGAGCAACCACATGGGAGCAACCATGCTCTAATTTCCTTCAAAATTTCCAGTTTTATCTGCCACAAACTATTGTGGGAAAAGAGTGAAAATAAAGGAAAGTGATATGCATTTATCTACCATTATCAGCTTAATCTCATGTCAAGCATTACATGAGATTTTTCATTCAAAAACCTCACAAGGGAATTTTCTGAGAAAACTCCATTATCCACATTTAGCAGTAAATGTTACTTTCACTTTACCTTTCCCTGAAGATTAAATAATTTCACTAGTGACGAAACAACTAAGTAATAACAACACTAAACAGAAAAGAAGCTTTACAATATTAACTGCTTTGCAAAACACAACAGAGGGTTTCACCAAGGAAAACTGGTCATTTCTGCTGGTAGCTTAAACAGCTAAATCTTTGCCTTCATCACAGCCAATATGACATAAACTGTGCTGACATCCTCTTATTTACAGCTTTTTTTTTTCCTTAGGGAAGAACATGAACAAAAACATCCTCAGTAAGAGACATCCCAATAATTTCCACATTTAGCCCATTTCATCTATGTGGGCTTCAGGTGGGTTGTCCTGACATTTTTTTAAGGGCTCTCATAATTTTTCTAAAGATCCATCTGCTCAATATGAAGCACACATAACTTTCAGTGCCAGATTCTCAGACTAGATAATAATTTTAGGTTTGGAAGCCTCAGCAAAGAACAGCCCTGGCCTCGGCAGATAAGCAAATATGATGGCAAGGGTGTATCAGAGGATGCTGTAAAGAAATGGTTTGCTGGTTCACAGAGCACTGAAAGTACAGGGCAAACCCCTGACAAATCCAGGCTTGTGCTGATGATACACGAAAAGATAAACTGTCTCATCTTTTCAGGTAAAAAAAAGGAATGGAAATTAGATCTTGCACTTTCCTGGCAAGAGCTCCAATCGGTAGCCCAGAACACAGAACAGAGAAGATCCACTTTGCTCTAAACTCACTCTAAAAGGAAAAGGCCACTAAATATTGTCAAATCTGGGCACAGGTACAGTGTAGTGAGGTACCTGTGGGTGTCTGTCCAGCTGCCTTGCAGACCCTGGGCAGGCTCAGGCACAGCCAAAGCTGAGACATGAACAGGCTGAGATGCAAAATTCCTGCTGGAGTGAGTCCAGAGGAGGCACCAAAACGATCAGAGGGCTGGAGCAGCTCTGCTGTGAGGAAAGGCTGAGAGAATTGGGATTGATCAACCTGGAATAGAGAAGCTTTGAGGTGACCTAACTGTGGCCTTCCAGGACCTGAAGAAGCTACAAGAAAGATGGAGAGAGACTATTTACAGGGGCCTGGAGTGACAGGACAAAGGGGAATGGCTTCAAACTGACAGAGAGTAAAGTTAGACAGGATATTGGGAAGAAATTGTTCCCTGTGAGGGTGGGGAGGCCCTGGCACAGGTTGCCCAGAGAAGCTGTGGCTGCCCCATCCCTGGAAGTATCTAAGGTCAGGTTGGACGGGGCTTGGAGCAACCTTGGGTTAGTGGAAGGTGTCCCTGCCCATGGCAGACACATATTTTCATAATAAATTCATTGTTCATTTTTGCAGTCTGGCCTTCAAGCTGCTAAAAATTTTTATTTTTATGGGGTTTTAAATTATTGTTTATAAAAGCAAAGAAGAGTGTTTTCTTCAGTTGAACCATCCAAGTTAAAGAATTGGTAGCAACTACAGGGACAGTGACCAAGGACTTCTCTCATTCAGCACACCATGGGATTAAAAGGCTATATTGGTATTTTCAGCAGCAGGTTTGTATTGTGAGTGCAGAGAATAAACAAGAGCGCAGCTGAAATAGGACCCTGCTCTTGGTGTCAAATAAATGTACTCTCACAATACTTGGAGAGAAGGCTGAGCACAGGAACATTATTCAGGGACTGCTGAGCCCAAGACAAGAGGTGAGAAGGGTATTTTAGTCACTGATTTAAAATAGAAGATGGCACTTCACATACATTAACAGAGTTGCAAGGAAACGTTCTGAAGTACCACAAGCTTACTGAGTCACCACGATCCAGCAAAGCCCAGAGATGCAAAACTTTGACTGGTCCCACCCAACCTGCAGGAGTTCCATCCTGGATCTGCACTGACAACAGCCCTGAGCACATCCCAGGCTGCAGGTTTTCCCCTTTCGGCCTTAGGAAAAGAGGTGGAAGGGGCTACACACAAGGCAAAACTGGGGGAGTACACACAGACATCTCACACCCCTAACTCTCCAATCTTCTCTTCACCAGGTCATGGTGAAGGGAGGACCTAAACCAAGTTACCATTTCATTTAATATGCTCTGGATTGCAGCAATTGCTACAGCTCTGCTCCCCTACCCAAGACAAGTGGTTTTCACTATCTGGGAGATTGAGGACATGAATGTGTAACATCATTTTAGTGCATTTTAGTGATTTTCCACTCCTCAGATGCAGTGTAGCAATATCCAGGACACAAATCCACTGCCACCCTGTTTGGCACTGCAATAGTCACAGTCACTACCTCTGTCTCTGGCAATGAGGCAGGAACTGACAGTTGAGGGGCAGCAAATTGTTATATAGGTTGCACAATATATTGTGACAGATCATGTAGGTTTTCCAATGCTGAGCAGAGAAATCCCCTTACACCTTTTGAAAATAAGGGCTCACATGTTGCTGTCTTTTGTGCAAAAGCAACTTTTTCCCATTTTTGCAAAGATCTCCGAGTCAGTTTGAGCTTGCTATCAGATACATGAGGCTCTAGCCCACTATTTTTAGCATTTAATGGCAAAGCTGATAGTGCCATTAATCCACTTTGGTATATAACATTCAATTTCCACTTCAAATTGCATCTCAGAGCAAATGGTAGCTTGATTCCTGCTGTCAGATATAGTCAGAAATTTATGATGCAACGCATTTAATGACTTCCTGCTCTCAGCTGAAGCTGGGAAAATCTGTAGTAGTCTTTTGAGACAGTGTGGCATCAAGGGATGGAGCATTCTGGAGGGGAGATTTACAGGACTATCACAGGATGTTGCTGAGGCTGTCCAGATGGGCAGCACGGGACTGGAATGTAAATGGCAAAGCACTCCTGTGAACTGGTGTGTATGTGGGTACCTCAAACCTAAGTGCCCCTCCACCAGCAGGTAGTCCAGAGCCAAGCCCAGAAGGATGTTATCCCTGCAGGGAGAGCTCTCCTGCATGGATGGGAGCCTTTGGATCCTGTGCTTGCCCTGGGAGGACACAGCCTCCACCTGCCGCTTCAAAAGAGAGCACGCGAGGACAGAGCTGGCAGGGAGGGACACCTGCCCAGCCTTGCTCCTGCTGGGCTCCTGCTCAGCTGCAAAACAACATTTCCAAGGGCAGTGATAGTTATTATGTCTAAAAATCACTATCTTGAGTGTACTCCACCAGCCCAAAAAAAGCTGGAAACCAGGAACTGAAGCTCAAAACAGAGAGAGCTGCTCAAGACTTAAATCCAGACACTTGGACAGATAGAATATCTTTTCCCTACCATGGGATTAGAGGCATGGGGGAGATAGCTTGCTGCTATACTTTTTTAAAGATATTTTTAAGATATCTGCTTTAAAATACACCACTCTGAATTTAGGGAGAGACCAATTAAGACCTTTAAAACACTAACTGAACAACTTGGTGAACAAGTCCCCAGCCATTTATTCAACTTAAAATTGCTGCACTGAATATTGTCCTTGTAAAACGATCACATGGAGGTTGAATTTGAGATTTTTTGCATCTTGCTATTGAATTGTGGGTCCATGATAGTAATTCTGTGGGCTCAGAAGGAAACTGGAAAAGATTTGTGACTTTTTGAGCTGTAAGAGAAGCCTCAAACATTCGTATAAGTGATATTGTAAGGCTTTGACTTTAAAATACTTCTCAAAAGCATGAGTTGTGATGTATTCAGACATCAGCAGGTGCCATCAAAAAAACAAACTAAGAAAATTCACCAGAGAGATATAGAATGAATAAAGTGCAAGGAAAATCTACTTTATACTTAATGATAAATGAAAATCTCCCTGGTCCTTCATAGGTTTAAATCAGTACAGCCCCAGTTAAGACCAGTCACAGTGGGATCCTGTGAGCAAAAGAAGTGGCTGGGGAGAAAAATTCTTTTTGAAAGAGTAAAGAAAGGAAAGGCACATGGAAATTTGTTTCACTTCTCCATCAGAGATGTGTCTTCCAGTGCAGATGCCCAAAGGTGCAGGGACGGTCCATCCCTCCCCTGGGCAGGACCCGGATGCCCAGAACAGGCATAAAGTTTTGCTGGATGAAAATCCCGCTTTTCAGAGGAATTTTCAAGCCAATCCCTCCTGTTCGGTACCTGCAGAGGGCGCCAGACGGTCTCAGATGTGCTGGGGATGCTGCACCAGGTGCTTGTGGCTGTCAGTCACAAAGGTGCTCGCTCTGGAATGGCCAACGCTCTGCACGGAGGATGAAGTAGGAGTTGTTTTTTCTTTCGTGCACGTATAAATCCCTTAGTTCTCTTTTCCATTCTTACCACTGAAATAGCAACAGATACTTCGCTGAGCTGGAACATGCTGGCAACAAACCTGCCCCAGCAGACTGGAAAACTCCCTACTTTTAATCACTGGGAGAGCTAAAACCAGCAATGTGCTGCTGCCGATTTTTCCCTGCGGAGAAAACTGTTTGATGCCTGCGAGGCTTGAAGCTCACTTTCTTACACAGGAAAAAGCAGTGTGTGACTGACATAAAACTCACTGTAAATGCATAATTTTTTTTATGTTTCCACTTGTAAAAGTGACCAAAGAAAAGTCCAGCTTGATTCCACCCCATATGCACAGCAGCAGCTTGGAAGGACTTGTTTTCCTTTTTCTTTTTTTTTTTCCTCCTTTTTTTTTCTCTTTTTAACCTGTGCTCTATCAGGTCCATAATCAGTTGTGAATTCAACTCCTTTGCTGACAATGAATACCACACACTCTGCATTTTCATTTCAGCCTGTGCAGCTTAATGTCACCGAAGACTTCAACGACTCCACTCTGAACAGCAGAAGTGGCGATGGATTTTGTGAGCAGGTCTTCATAAAAGCAGAGGTCTTCTTGACTTTAGGGATCATCAGCCTCCTGGAAAACATCCTTGTCATTCTTGCAGTGCTGAAGAATGGAAACCTACATTCTCCCATGTATTTCTTCCTTTGTAGCTTGGCTGTGGCAGATATGTTGGTGAGCATGTCAAACGCCCTGGAGACTGTCATGATTGCAATCCTGAGCAACGGCTACTTGATCATTGATGACCACTTCATCCAGCATATGGACAATGTTTTTGACTCAATGATTTGTATTTCTTTGGTAGCCTCAATTTGCAACCTCTTGGTTATAGCCATTGACAGGTACATCACTATTTTCTATGCTCTCCGTTACCACAGCATCATGACTGTGAAGAAAGCTTTAACCTTGATTGTGGTCATTTGGATTGCTTGTATCATCTGTGGCATCATATTCATTGCCTACTCAGAGAGCAAAACTGTCATTGTGTGTCTCATCACCATGTTCTTTACCATGCTCTTCCTCATGGCCTCCCTCTATGTCCACATGTTCCTGTTCGCCCGCCTGCACGTGAAGCGAATCGCAGCCCTGCCCGTGGAAGGGGTGCCCTACCAGAGGACCTGCATGAAGGGAGCTGTCACCATCACCATATTGCTGGGTGTCTTCATTGTCTGCTGGGCACCTTTCTTCCTCCACCTCATCCTCATCATTTCGTGCCCGATGAATCCATACTGCATCTGCTACACCTCACACTTCAACACCTACCTGGTGTTGATAATGTGCAATTCGGTGATTGACCCACTCATTTATGCTTTCCGGAGTCTGGAGATGAGAAAGACATTCAAAGAAATAGTGTGTTGTTGTTATGGCATGAGTGTGGGACAGTGCATGCTATAAACCTCTGGCTTTGGGTGGAAAATGCCCACAATAGGTGTATGCATATATATGTATGTATTATCAAGATACACAGCAGCTCACTTTTAATGCAGTGCCTGAAGGAAGGGTGCAGGAAAGAAAAATGCCTTCTACATGATGCCTTGTTTCATACTTTTCAGAATGAGAAACAGTTTCAACAGAATTATATGAAGTTTTTTAAATAGCTATAACAGAAGGAAATCCAGAGTGGCTTAAAAATAGCTTAAGAAACTTACTGGGGAAAAACAAATCCTGAAAGGGAATACTATCTTCTAGAGATTGAAATAATGTTCTCTCTACCATTCATTTGTGCCTGTTGCTTTATCTTTGTGTCATCACCACCAAGTCAGTGGTTTCTAAAAGATTCGATTAGTCATCTCTGTGGAAAGGTATTCAAAACCTAACAGGTAACAACATTGTTCCACACCTACTCCCATGCCTCCACCTTTTAATGAAAGAACAGACTGATATTTATGCTGTTTGCTATAAAGCAACCCGAGTACAATTTTTGAAGGGTGAAACTAAACATTTCTCTTGCACTGAGATCAGTCAAATTAAAAGGAATCACAGTATCAGTGACAGTGTAATTTAAACAGCTGCCTGATAGGATTGACTCAGATGAAGGCTTTTACATTATTTATTGTGATATAGGAGTATTATATCCTTGAATATTTAATTATTTTTCTAAGCTGGAATGCACTGATTAATGTAGTGTTTGGTCTGTCCATAAAAAGTCACAGAAACCTCCTTTTGAGAAACCATCACTAATGAGACCCACAGATCTGACCATCAGGAATAGCTAAAATTCAAAATAATTTTAATCTAGCTTTGTGTAAAAGCTGCATGGAGTCATTAGAAATATCCACCTGGTTAAGTTCAGTTCCTTAACAGATAGAACTTCTATACATTGAGAAATTAATGTCGTGGGTCAGTCTCTTGTTACTTAAGCTTTCCCCTGAACTCAGGGGATGGACACTGGGGGATGGACACACCTGCACTGGGAACAAGGAAGCAACATGCTCTTTGCCATCATTTCCAAACTCTGTGTGCAAGTCAGTGGCATGTAAAGCACTCAACTTCAGCTGCAGTAATTTAGTCTGTGCCTCTGCTTTTTGTAGGAATAAACCATGTCAGTGGCCTTCAAACAGCACTTTGTAACTGAGCAGAGGCTGATGCAGTTTGTGTGCAACAGGTACAGGCACTAGTGCAGGCAGTGCCAGGCTAAGAAAACTTTGAACCATCCTAAAGTCTATTTAGCACCTTTCTGGTACCTTGCTTTTAGGAGAGGCAGTATCCCAAACCCCTCAGGGTTGTCTATTGCTTTCAAACATCTAAAAGATCTCATTTGACTTAAGACTATCTTTTTTATTTCCCCCTCCTATTTCATTTGAATGGAGTTGCTCAGTTATTATTATTATTAGAGTTATTTCTGGGGCTCTCTCTGTCAGGTCAGGAACAGTTAATCCAGCCCAGAGCATCCCCACCTATTCTGTCTCCAGTTCTGCACTCACACTGGTCCTGGTACCCCCCAGGCTGATGGTGTTTTCCTGCCCCTGGCTCCAGATCCAGCTCTGGCTGCTGTGAGGAGTCACATTTCACACTTTGCAAATACTGGCCTGTGTTTGATTCTCAGCATCCTACAACCTACATAGGGAGCAACCCAACATCCCAATCCTATGGCCAAGGAGCCAAGAGCCATCTCTCCCTGTGCTCTTGCCACACTGCCCACCAGCACTAACCCACCTCATGTTCCCTATTTCCCTTCCCTCTGATTACACCCTAAATTCCCTGAGTTCTTATTTCCTCCCACAATCACATCCTCCAGATATCCCCCCTCCCAAATCTCCCACTGTTCCAACAATTACCTAATTTCATCATCCTAAATTTTAAAAAGGTTAAACTAAGAAAACAAACAAACAAACAAACACAACCAAAACAAAACAAAAAACCACCAAACCCAAACAAAATAAACACCAACATCACTGTGGAGCAGAACAGGCACAAATGAAAATTTTCACCAATTTTGGGCAAAAATTAGAGAAAATCCCAACCACTGGCAAAGAATGCTTTCAGCCTTACCTGTGCCTCACAGAGTTCAGCACTACCAAGATCTGTTCTGTTAGCTCAGCCTGTACACTTTGCAACATCTGATGTGGCACATTAAGATGAAATCAGCACAGGAAACCACACAACTGGCCTTTTGTAGTGTGGAAAGACTGTACTTGTAAAAAAATCTCTACCTGTTGTCATTGTTCTGTATCTTTATACTCTGGAGCATGGTTTGCCATGATATTCTGCTCAGGTTATTGTGTATTTAGCTTTTATTGCACCTGATGTCCTACTTATTTCTCTTCTAAAAGCGATTTAAACAAGACCGATTCATACTGTGCTTTGCCTTTAAACAAAACATCCGTGTGCTGAATAAAACAATCTGAAGAGATCACTTAGAGCCATGTTTGCTTCTATCAGAGCACCACATCATGTCAAACCAGTCTGTGGGCTGGCTCACAAAACTAGAAATAGAGTCTAACACTGGGCAAAAACCTCTTAATTCACAGAATCATGGAATGGTTTGGGTTGGAAGGGACCTCAAAGCTCATGAAGTTCCACCCCCCTGCCAAGGAGAGGGACACCTTCCACTAGACCAGGTTCCTCAAAGCCCCATCCAACCTGGCCTTAAATTCTAAACTCTGCCCACAGAGCTACACAAAAATGAGCAAACACTCCAGATTTCTCAGTCTCACATGCAAACAAGTTGAGAAGAGAATCCATAAAATCCCCCAAAGATCTCACCCTTTCTGTCACCACCCTCCCCACAGGTTATCCACAGAGATGGGTGATGGGTTTGTCCAGCTCCAGTTCCAGATTCTCAGCTCTAACTCATACTCTGGAAATCCACGGTGCAGAGTTCTGCACAGAGCCAGGATGATATCCATCACAAGCCTGGGAAGGGAAAGAGGCAGTTCCATGGCACTGAACTCCCAACAGGAGTTACTGAATGAACACTCACAGCTACAGCTCCAGGTGTAACGTGGAAGTGGAGGGAAGAACAGGACTGCACCCTAAGGAAATATCCCTGCAATCGGAGGGACAGACCTTAACACTTGGATGAGAAAGGAATCCTGAAACTGGAAATCCCCTCAGTCCTCAGGGACAGCAGTCAGGACTCATCCAAGAGATACAGAAGCACTGGCAGAGCCCAAACCAGCATCATTTCCCAGCAGTGACCCTATAGATGTGTCCATACAGCAGAACAAAGACATCACAACACATGCAGGGACAGGAGAGCAGCCCCTGACTCGAGCTGGTAACCAGAGCAACATTTCTATCTGAGAATCTCCCCCGATCAGAACTGCAGTGAAATGTGACCACTACCAGAGTTGTTACTATCAAACCAACATGTAATCTGTTCATAATAAGAAATGTTTCTTCCTTGATAACAGTGTTGGGCTGAACAAGATATATGCAGTTTCCCCCTAGATGATCTAAGAAATGGCAGGCTGAGAAAATGTCTTTTTCATCTAAAGGTGTCATTAATATGGATTCATTGATTCAGTTTTTCTGCAAAAAAATTGGGCAGTTCACAGGCAGTGTAGGATCAGCATATGCTCAAAGACTTGTTAGAAAATCCTCATATATTTAAGACAAATATTTGAGTTCACAGGAGCATGAGTAATCCTCCTAAGTCAACTCAACACAGCACATTCTGTTTCTTTCATATTAAATTCAGCACTACACAGGCAATTTTCCCATCAATAAGTGTCTAAATATTTTATAATTGACAACATTTGTCTTAATGGACAAATAACAAAGTCCAGGCACAGAGTGCTGCCTTCAAACAAGGTCATTATTAGGGCCATTAGTACAAATAGCTTCGTTACCTCTTCACTGAAATAAGATGGTTCTATTTGTTGAAGCTTAGTTTGGGACCAGGGTTTTTTTGTTGTACTTAAACCATTAAGGAGATTTTGAAGGAATCCAGTAAGGAATATAGCTTCACAATGTACACTGAGAGTCCCTTTGCTGGGACTCAGCCCAACCTCAGCTCCAAACCTCTGAGATGGTACAAGAGAAACCAGGTGACCTGGGCACTGAGACACCCAGCACAGCCACAGCAAATGCAACTGTTCCACAACAGCTTCTTCCTTCCTGCCCCACCATCCAAGAGCACAGGCACTCAGACCTGCTGATGTGAGATGATTCATGTCTTCAAACTGACAGAGAGTAGAGTTAGACTGTATACTAGGAAGAAATAGTTCCCTGTGAGGGTGGGGAGGCCCTGGCACAGGTTGCTCAGAGAAGCTGTGGCTGCCCCATCCCTGGAAGTGTCCAAGGTCAGCTTGGACGGGACTTGGAGCAACCTGGGCTAGTGGAAGGTGTCCCTGCACATAGCAGGGGGGTGAAATGGGATGAGCTTTAAAGTTCCTTTCAATCCAAACCATTCTATTCTATTTTATCCCTTCTAAACAAGGCACAGAAATCTGGACAGCATTCAGTGGGTTAGAGGGTGCAGAGCAGAGACGCTCACACAGCCCCCTCATCTCACTATAAATGGTGCTACCAAGCCACAACAGGGCTCTCTGCTGTTCCCTCTTCAGAACAGCTCTGGGTACAGGCACAGATCTATTTTTTTAATGACAGCTGTAACACAATGCCCTTGATCAATCCACTTTCAGGTAGAAAGCAGAGGAAAGAAACACCTTTCAAAGAACGCTGCAAAGACTCATCAAAATTCCTGTCCATCTCTGTGTAGAATATTCAAATGGAGCTGTTCTGCTCAGTTTTGAAGGTTAAAGCTTAAAAGATTAAAATGCAGCCTTGTTCCTAAGTGGTTCAGTTAAAAATGTACATTAAGTGGGTAGAGGCATTTAGAGGAAATTTAAAGTAGATTCTTAAGGCCAGAGCCACAGGTGAACCCACTGTGCTGGCAGTGGTGCAGCATCCCAGCTGCACATTTCATTGTGTTCTTTCCTGGGCTGGCAGGTAATGGGGTCACTGCTCAAGTCAGATGTTATACTGATGAATGGAAATAAGCTCTATCAGATTCATTCCAAAGAGAAAAACATCGCTTTTGATGTTTCAAATCTGTTTGGAAAATAAACATCTTTTTGTTCTTCATCCCAGTCATTATATATCTCAAAAGCATTTTAAATGGTAGCACAGGGCTCTGCTCATTCATCACTCTCACAATTTACATCTGTTAGAGTCAACCTAAAATCACTGGGTGAGGTCCCAACACAGCACTAGGGCTGATTTCAATAAAAGCACATTTCCATCCCACTCACTAATTCAGTGCTATACAAAGTAGCCCTAAATCTGCCTGATGTGGAGAGGATTGGATGTCACAGGCAAGTCAGAAACGCTTCTGAAACAGAAACCATAAAAACTGTAACATGTAAATTTAGTGTTTGGACAATGTGTTGGTTGGTGGGGCAGGAATCCAGGGGTGGATACTTTATCGGGAAGACCAGCACCTCAAAGAGTTAAGATAAATTTGTGTAATATTCACATCATTCTGAAAACACTAGTGAAAAGTAGATCTACTTGCTATTTTTACTCACTCAGCTGACTGTGCACAAGAAAAGGACATACCTGCTTGTTCTGGGATGGTGATGGAAATATATTTATTATCTGGTAAAATAAATAATCTGAAACTTTCATAGTCCCACAGTTAAGTACCTGCCCTAAGCTGTTATGAATTTCCAAGGTTCCCTTGTCCTGTTTTATATTTTTCATTTGTTTGTTTATGAAAACACACAGTTTTGATTTGAGGCTATTTATCTCTTGTGATTATAAACAAAGGCACTGCTCAAGTGAGATTTACTTAGGAAAGCCATAAATCCATGATGTTATTGCTCAG